AACCCATAACTTCCTTCATTTGGTCATTTTTCAGCTTACCCCACCAGTCCTCCCCTTTGCAACTACTAGCACAATGGTTTATCAGAGGCTAAAGCTGCCCGGTAGAAGATGCAAGCTCAGAGATTCTGATGTTTATCTTCAAAATGTTCCCAGGGTGGGAGTGACTAATACATATCGATTGTTCTTAACCATTGCACACAATGCCCACTGAAAATCAGCCTGACTCCCTTTCTAGATAAAGTATTATATATGTGCCTCAGCATGCTAAACTCATTCTGACAGGCAGATTTAGTGAATTGTTAAGGTTGTGTGCTAGAACTATTCTTTACAACATTAACTGTTATGCAAGAAGAGGTTGTAAAGAGTATTTAGGTTTATTTACCAACAATGTTAATATAAAGAAAAACTTAATCAGCTCATTACAATTAAACATGTTAGCTATCAACTGGTTAATGTGGTATTTATGCCTTATGACTGTCTAGTGGATGAGCATGAGTGTCTGGAAAAGCTATTCCACTAAGAGCTGTACCTGTCCAACAATCTGCCAAAGTCTAAATGGGGGACCAGAAGTTAACCTCAAAGGACCTCCAGAAATCTACTGATAAAAACCTATGCAAGATTCAACAAACAGCATTTTCTTAGGTCCCAGTTTCATGATTTAGTTTTTTTCCTTTCAATTTACAATAGAAATTTACAGTTATTTATAATTTACAATAAGAAAACATCAATTAGGCAGCACCAAGCCAAATGTGGGATGAAGTAAATTTAAAGTGAGTAACAATTGTGATGCATGGCTGAATCTGTCTAGAAAACACTCCTAATGCAACAGCTCAAAGACGTCCAGAATAAAACAAGCCTCATGGGTTCAGTAAGATATAACAGCTGATGACAAGTGGATGCAAGCTGAACTCTTCTTTCCAGACTTCCCTGAACTTTGAGTTTCAACAACTTCTTCATACAAACATGCCAAAGGAAAAATGCAACAATTACTCTAGGACAGTCTTTGACTTAAATAATTCTTCCATCTGTTCCCTGAGGCAGAGGAGGAGGAGGGGAGCAGAGGCTGCTAACATGAGAGGTTCTTATGCAGTTGCATTCAAGGTGGGCCTTCTTGCCTTTTCATCCCTCTACAGCCATCCAAGGCCTTACTGCCATTTAGCCCTCTCTCTCTCTCTGCGAAATAAATATGCACCACACCAGAAGGTGCCAGCCTGGTTGCACTAGACAGTCAGGCAGCTCACCTGGACAGCAAATAGAGCATAGGTACTGGGAATGCAGAGATCTCCTCCAGCAATAATAATGCCCTGCCAAGCATGTCATCTTGCTCCAGAGTCCAAATCATGAGTAGGTGATTCAGTCTATGGTTATGAAACGCCCAATTTTCCATTGATACTCAGAGGAAACCTGTAGTTTGTAATGGGTTTTGTGGATGACGTTTTCAAGTTTTCAAGACACCTTATATGACTTTGAAACTTAAGTGCCATTTTCAAAAATGACCTAGACTCTCTCATCTCCCTCACTGTCTGGAGGCAGAAGATGGACAAGCTCAAGTTCCTCACAATCTGGGAGAAGAAGGCAGTCCTCTGTCTGTGTCATCTCCTGGGTTCTCATGGGGGATAGCTGTATGCAGGCTGCCACCTCCCAGTGTTGTCAGTGACCTGGGAGAAATGGGCAGTGTCCATGACATAGCAGGGCAGGGCATTACTGTGCCCCATAACAATGTGGGAGAGCTCTTCATAGCAGGTGTCTGTAACTGTGCAGGTGCTGGGCACATGGTTGGTATCTCTTATAACGAAGCACTTTTGGCTTTGAGTGGCACTGCTGCCAGTCCTAGTTGTGTTTTGGTCTTCATTTCATTTACACAGCAATCCACTCAAACACTACCTGGTTCCAGGGTCTACCCCCAAGACCCCCAAGTTCTCCTCCTCACTCTAAATGGCAAGCAGGTCTACTACCTCCTCCCAACAACAGTTGGTGCCATACTTGGAAGGAACACTGGAAGTGGTTGAGGGGCCATAATTGAGTAGCACTGGGGATATCCACTGGTTGTGTCCAACTCAAGGACATGGTTAGGGAGCACAGAATGGCTGGCAAATCTTCACGGTAGGAAATAAACACATGGATAAGGCCACCTATGACCTGTTACCCCTGGGCTGTAGAGTTCTGTCCAAAATACCAGAGCAGCCACTCCAAGTGCCAGAGCCGCAGGGCAGGGGATGGGGGAGGAAGCACTGCATTGTGGGATGCCTGGGTGGTGTCCTGACAATCAGACAGGTGCCCTTTACAATATTCCAGAAAAAAAAAAAAAGTGATACCACATTTCTCCCAGAACACTTCAGTTGGCTTTGTCACAGGTCTAGAGCCATGTACAGGTGCATGCAGTTTGTCACGAGACAAGACCATTTATCCCACAACAAATATGATCGTCTGTCCACACCCTTAGGTGGTTAAGTCCCATCACTTTCAATAAGACTTAAGATCCTGCTTTCAAAAAAGTTTTACCCGTTGTCTATTAGGAAGTAGACCTCACCCACTGACTTAGTTTGCATACTTCACCAAACAGCTCTTAAGTGACAGCCTTCAAACCCTGGTGATCTAGATTCCTATAATGGTTTCTCAAATTAAAAAAAAAGTGCAGTGCCCTGCCATTCCTGTTTTTAGCCATCCAGTATCCCTATGTTGTTCAGGTGGAAGTGAGGGATAATTAAAACACACTTGCGCCACACCTACAAACAAATAAGTGCTCCTTCTAAATTACTGTGTCTCCCAACAAGTTTCACTAAGATTTGCCAGTTAAGGAACAGACCAAGTCTAAAGTTTCAAGCAAGTTGGCTAACCTTACACATAAAAATACCTTTTTATATGCATTTTGCTTTTAAAAGAACCCGGTATTTCTCATGGGCTATAGTTCTTCTGAATCTCAAAACTGACTTTAAAATGTCTTAAAAACTTCAAGATGCATTAGCAATAAATGGCTGAAGATTACTAGCTTTACTTATTACATACACCAGCTTTTCACCTTATAATAACTAAGTAGGTACTTTTAATTAGCCATACCCAAAGCATATTTAAGTAACGTTCTAAAAGGCCAGGAGCCTTTCAAACAATGTCTTGATCTTTTAAACAGAACTTCTTCCATGTGCACACAGGTGCATGTGCACACACACAACACACACTTCTACACATTTCAAATCATGTTTTTCAAAATTTACATAACACATTTCTCTTCATTGTATCATGTAGAAAGTAGTCGTCTATCTAGCTGACAGGAAAAAGGGTACAACTAAATCAGTTTGCTTTAGGATTATTATTTAAATACTTAATACGAAGGATCATTAGTTTGAGCAGCATGTTTGTACCACACCTGCCTTCATTGGAATTTAGCAACATGAACAATGACTCCATTAATTTATTATGAACTTTGAACTCTTAAAAACAAAAACAAAAAAGCTGCTGTAATAAGTCCCAACCCCAACAAAGTAGTATTTGCATGTTTATTCTATCAGTGTCTTTAGAAAGATTGCCAGGAACTCAGAGGCCTTCTGAAGACAACTATTCCAGTGACAGTTGTACTGTGAAATCTGATCAAGGTTTAGGTAATTTTCTCAGGTCTCGTAAGGCTAAAATTCTAAGTCTCGCATGGCAGCAGAATATTAGATCTCCACTCAGAATGACAGGAAAAGCCATAAGTCCCCCATTCCAGAACAATAAAACTACAAATCATCCATCTGGGAAGTAAGTACAAAATATACACTATTCACTCCAATTGTTGTCTCAACAAGAATTATACTCAAACTGTACATAGGCTCTATCTAAATGTTCAGTCCTTTTATAACCAAGCCTAATAGTATTTTTTTCAATATGAAAAACAAATCCGCTTAGTTCCAGTTTTGCGATTAAGGCTTAAGTTTTTTAAGGCTCAGAACAGTCAAACCTGCAGCTACAAAGGCTCAATTCAAGAACAAGCCAAGAATGAAATGCTTGCATGCTGTTTGCTACTCATGCCTAAGCATCACCATGGCTTCACAAGTGCAATCTGTTTCATGCTCAAATCAGCTTTGCGACAACACCGCCTTGGCCCCTCTGTCAAATCACTAGACTTTCCCCTTTACCACAGGTCGGCACGGGGAAAAAATATACAGATACCCACTGCTCTATTTAACATTCATAAACTGGTATACCAATTCTTTACACGTAATACCATATTTACTTGAATACAAGATAAGGTCGTCCCTCATTTGGCATGGGGGGGGAAAAAAAGCCCCTTATCTTATCACGTACAAGGAACCTCACTAAAACACATGGTCCATCAATAAACCGATGTCAAAAGCAGCATGTGCTCAGCAATGGAAACCACTATGAAGCAGATTAAGCGCAGCCAGCACTGAGCGTGACTAAAATACATGCCCACATTGACCAAACACGCTAATGGAAACCTACCACAAGGATAAGTTAATGCAGCCCATCTGAATAAGACATACGGCACTGCCCATTAAGCACAGTCCCCCTCATTGCCAACTCTCTTTCAAGTCACAGTGAGCCACTACACTGCATTCATTTTTACTTACTCTTCACTCCCTGAGCTGAGCTGCACCTTTCTTTCCCTTTTCCAATTATTCCTGTTTGTAGCAGTGAGAGGGGGCCAAATTCAAAACAAGCCTGCAATAATTAGATTCTATACCTGACAAATTATAACAAATTTAAAAATTTAACATATGTAGAATCTAATTATTTGTGGGGGGTCATCTCATAATCAGGGCCGTCTTCTATTGGAGTAAATACAATACTTATCTCTAGTCCTTAGCCCTGAGGGAATGCATCCTACCAACCAGTAGAATTTCAAATTGAGGAAAGAAGATTGCATAAGAAGTCTTTGACCTTGTAGCCATTGCATTAAAACCAGTAATGCAGTTTCACATGAAACCCTCAATTTGCTTGAGCCAAGCCTGCTGCTTCTTTTTAAAAGCCCAGAACAAAACACTGAAAACAAGCAAACATACCTGTGTAGGCAGGTCACCTGCTCTGAAGTCTGGAATGCTGCCATCGGAAAGACGAGACCTATACTGTCCTTTGCTTTGAAACTGTTCCTCCATGCTGCTCTCCATTTCTGATGCCTCCGGCTGTGGAGCATCCACCTCCATAGGGGGGCAGTGTCCATTCTCATTCTCTGAGGTCTGGCTGCCTTTGCTTTCCTTGCCATCTTTACTGGCTGATGTTCTGGCAATGACCCCAAACTTTCTCGTGCGTTTCCCATTTTGAGCAGTTCTGTCACTTGGTTCTGAGGTAGGCTTTGCTTTGGGTTCACAGCTATTGCTGTTGTTGCCATTTGATGGAGGAAGAGGGGCTTTTCGCTTAATGCGACGCAACATGATCAGGTAGATGAAGCCGCCATTCCAGCACTGCTCAGCCAAGTAACTGCAAGGAAACAGACAAGTCTGCATTATAAACACATCGCTATAAAATTCACACTGACATACCGGCAACAGGTATATACATCTCACTAGGTATTAATGCACCTTCCAATGCAATTCTTTGCCTAACTAAATTGTTACCAAATGCAAGAATATATTAAAATGCCTTGAGGCATCAACAAATAATCTCTTGATTTGCTATCAGACACTGTAAGATGCACAGACCCACTAAGGAATTCTGAGCTCCTGCTTCAAACAAAGCTATTTCACAGGCAATCCTAAAATACTCCCCACTCTTCAAAATGCAGCTTGCATATGAATCAGGGAGGATGTGTTCAAAATGTGTGGCTTCAAAAACAGTGTGGAAACAGGCTAATCACACTTAAGCACACACAATGGCAGATAAATACCACCGAACTGGTCACCTTTCACGCTTCAAATCCTGTGGCAGGGCAAGAACACAGCAGAGGGCAAAAGAAAATACAAATGGTTTCTCAATGGAAAGTAAAATTAAAAAAAATAATATAAAAAATCTGCAGGCGTCAGCAGCCCACACTGTATCTGCATCTGAACTGGAGCTTCCTCAGGGAGATAAATCTCCAGTTTTGGTTGATGTGCACGTGCCGCAGGCCAAAGGACTGCTTGTGTCAGCAGGCTCAACTCCAACAGCTTCACTAGAGAAAGGCATTCTGCAATAATCTAGAACATATGGGGTCTAGTTAATGGAAACAAGATGCACTTTCCACTACAGAGCACGTTCTGGTCAAAGTACGTGAAATCTCAATGACCTGTCCGAGGCAGTGGGAAACCCTCAGACTTTAAAGTGCTCCACGGAAGACCGGTCCCCAAAACATCTGTGTGCTTGAGTAATCCTTTAAGTCATCATATTTACTCTTTGGTCAAAATACAATGACTTCCATGGAACTACCCATGAATTCAGCTTTGATATATTCAGGGAAAACATATGCCTTGATAAATTCCTTAAATGTTTGGGTTCTGAGCCAAGGGTGTAACCAACTCAGAATACAAATAGATGGGAATTTGTACTGAATAGGTTTATAGGTATCCTTTCACACTAATTTAGGCCTTATAATTGTTGTCTCCTTTGCTGGTGAAAGCAGAAAACCATTCCAAAAATATCAAGGACACTTGCTCTAACTGCAGTGAGTAGTGTTTACTAAAGTATAGCAGTTGGTAAATGTGCAGCAATATCATGTTACTGGTACAGGGGATTAGATGGTAGTTGTGGAGGTAAAGCAGGAACATCTTTGGACTAAATAATATAGCAGACGTGGTTGTGAGAGAAGGAGAATCAAGACAGGACTCTTCTCTGCCCCCTGAGTTCTCACTCCCCACTGCCCGTGGAGAAGCAGATTCTTAAATCAGTACATTTTAAAACTAAGGTTTTCTTTCATTTGCTCTGGCCCTATTCCCTTGCTCCACTGTCCCGCTGCTAAGCCCTCTTATGGCAAAATAGAAAAAGCAGGCATAGTAATCACAGAAAGCTGTTACTATGCAATAGGTTTGCTGGTGTCTGGGGAGTCAGTCAGCGGTTTCAGTCGTTATTCCTAAAAGCAGAGGCATCCCCATCAGACAAAACACACCCTACCAACAGGCCCGAGTCAGTAAATCGAACCACGGAGACCAGTGACTGGATGCAACATCTGACCTTAAAAACAGCCTCTACAGAACAGGATTGAAGTACAGAAGATAAGTTGAGAGGAATGTTTGTACTGATCAGATCATATCGGATTTCCTATGCAGAGAGGAAGGCAGTCCCCAGGACTATCCATTCATCACTTTTCACAGTTACTGTAGTCATTTCTGTTATTCAGAAGAGAATAAAACCAGCTTCTCCCCTCAATCAGCTACAAGCAGGTGACACAGCAAGAACCCATCCCAGTGCAGAAAGTTTTTGATGGGAAGTTTTTGATGCTCAGTTGCACATATAAGTCTTCCTTGTATCCAAAGAAAATGGGGCCTGATGGGTCAGTTATAACTTACCAAGAGGAGAGGAGATATTTTGATTGCCAAGTTTTAAAAAAAATAAAATAAAATTCTTCCAATCAGCAGAAAAAGGCCAGTTTTTTCCAGAAACAATAAGGTCTGCCTGTTTTTCACATTCATCTTTCAAGCTCAAATTTCAAGGCAGCCAGCAACATTGATTAAAATTCATGACTCCTGCTTGCAGCAATACTATTGCACTCTGATCCATCACACATAGACGTGACAGTGCTGCTGCTTCTGAGGGAGGGAAACAGGAGAGGGACTCCCATCCCATAGTTTAAGGGGCTGGTTCTGCCCACCATGCTCTTCACATACATGTGGATCTCTGTATTAAACCACCGAGGCATTTTTAAGCACTGATAATCTACTGCATTCACTCAAGCACTAATGCACACACCATTTGAAATGAGAGAAACAAATCAGCTTACAAACGTGACAAATAGTCATCTTACATGGGAAAACAAACCTACCATTTAATACCCTTTTCTGACATCTATTTTATTCCTAGCATGCAAAATCATCGAAAAGTTCATTTTATAAGTATCCCCTGCCGACAGAAGGACAGATCCTCAGCAGCTGTAAGTGGGCTAAGGCTCACCAATTTCACTGAAGCCACATTGATTTACTCCAGAATTATCTGTGGCCCCTGTACTTAACTCACAAAACCTGCAGTAACTCACGTTTTGATGCTCACTCCACGGCAGTTCCTAGCAGGCAGTGCATTTCTATGAAAAATAAAAACATGCCAACACAGAAAAACAAAGGAGTATCTCTGAATGTCAACAACGAGGCGAGCAGCCACATCACCTCCGGCACTGATCTTGTCAGCTCTTTCAGGTAAAGGGAAACCCAGGTGCTGCAAAAACAGGTGTTGGTTATTGAGGAGGCAGCACTGTTCCCACTGAGTCAGTGCCCAAGCTATGCTGGAAAGGCTGAACTGTTGGAAGTCAGCTCCCTTTCTGTAGACCTGTACAACCAAGCTTGTGACCACCTGTGGTCATTTAAATGCACCACCACCCTCTGCCAGGGTAGAGTTGTTAACCAGCAAGTTCTTGCCAAACTGCAATCTGGCTAACTCTTCAGTCTACTTAGCTAGCTTCTTTTTCCCTTCCAGTTTTGATTTCACTTTAGACTGAAAAGACTTCAGGGCTGGAAAGAAAATAGATGGAGAACACAGCAAGGCCAGAAGCACAAATGCTTATACCTGAATTGATATCACTGGTCGACCAATGAGTCATGTCCATATCAAATAAATTTGATCTGTCCATATCAAATAATCCATATCTTTCTAGTAAGAAGTAGAGTTTGGTTTTGCATTTAAGGCTAGTTACACTATTAAGAATCTGTAGCAGCATTTATTAGAAGGCTAACAAAATAAATGACATGAAATTAACTGACTCAAACAGAATATATCAGATAAGTGGATCTGCACTGATTTTTAATTTGCACCTCTGTAAATCCAGAAGCATCCTCTGCCAGAAGGCAAATGAGGGCTGGATTTAATAAACTATTTGTTCAGCTCCTATACTACAGAAACTTGCACAAAAGCTAGACAAGATACTTTTCAGGGTTTCCAGAGTGCATAAGCCAGACAGCCTTTTTATTGAGTCTGGCCCCAGCAGAACATTCAAAGGGGTTTCTAAAAATCCAAATACCAGATGGTTTTCAAACAAGCCAAGCTGCAAGTTGCTACATTATTCTGTGTCAATGGCTGTGTGCAGTAAAACTCAACCCAGATTTGGAAGCATTAGCCTCTAGTGGAAAGGTATTTGTTTCTCAATGTTGTCTTCATCCCAAAGCTTTGTTTGCTTGCATTTGTTTTGGTTTTTTTAAGAAAGTATAATGAGGTTTCAGTTAATCCATTTTATTGAGGAGAGGCAGGTATTGCCATTATAAAACAAAAAAAAAATTACCTTCTTTTGGTTGAGGGTGGATTCAACTAAAATCTTTGACATTATAAATGAAGTAACTTAGCTTACTTGGCCAAACACTCCTGACACTTCTGAATCACTACTGTAAAATCAGCACACGAATCGGTCCTAATACTATTGATCTTCAAGAATGTGAGCAATTTTACCAGCTCATAATAAAAAACTATGAATACTAGTTCCAGAAACAGAGCGTTTAACTAGAACACTGCCTTACCCACACTTTCTGTAATAATGCTGACATTCACTAGTCTCTGCTGAAGGCCCTTAGCCCAGCTGGAAGGCTGCAACTCCCTTGCAAGAAGGAGGATGGCTCCCCAGCAGACCTGCAAGAGGACTTTTATCTGCACAGAAAGAAACTTCCTGGATCTTTCCCTTGCATGCAAAGGAAATTCATTATGGACCAGCTTGCAGTATTGATGAGGGACTGCAGACTCCTTGCTGAACTACATTTGACTACTACGTCATCTGCTTGCTTTAAGACATGGTTAACAATTATGAACAAAGCTGTACAACACCTTATGAGGCACTATTAAATGAAGATGCCAAGACTGCATTGCCAAATTTCCAGTCTCCTCTCCAACAGTAACTGCAGCAAAGCAACATATTTTAATAACCAGCTGGTAGGCAGACACTATTTTATTTCCATCTTTTAAAGAGATGAGTAAACTGAGGCAGAGAATGGTCATGCCAAAACTTACATTGGAAAGTAACATCAAAATCAGGAAGAAAACCCAGTGATGGGCAATACTAAAAACTCAAAGAAATCATTTACATAGAACAAGTGAACCCAAAACCTTGTTTTAACCACAAAAAACATGACTGCACCTAAATGAGAAGATTCACTGAGAAGTCTACTGCGAATCGCTCCTGTGTCTGTGCTCTGAATTAATGCCAGTCAAGCCATTTTTCTGCTTTGATCTTCCTTAAGTATTAGCTATGGTTAGATATGAGCATAATGAAGATGGCCTAAAGGAGATGAGGCAGATCTCCTCCTCCTCTCATAAGAAAAATCATCCATTTACTAAGATACAAAACCGAGAAAACTGGAGGAATAAAAAGTGTAAAA